CAGGATCATCTCAACAATTTCGAGTTAATGCTCATGTTATAATCATCAGTATTGAGATTAATTGATCAACATTAAGCATTGCAAGTTATATGAGTTTGAAAATGTGCCATATATGAGATTCAAAAATTTAGATTTTGAACTGTTGTGAGAGGTGTGCTTTCAACAAAAGGTGAATATACATGATAGTAAAATAATAGAACTACTATGAACTATCTTATTAAGCTATTTCTTCATTTAATTTGTCTTTATTTAACTTGTAATGTCAGTTTCTATGTTAAGCCCATATAGATTATTCAAGATTTTGAATATGCCGATTAATCCATTCTTATTGAGTCACAACTTATACTTTGTTAATTAGTCGCTTATCAACCTTGACTGTTTTTTATGTGAGCGTATGTATACACACTTCTTATCCTGTTAATCGCATGTCTGTTGCTTATTTTTGGTTGGGCTAAATATATCGATTTATGCTTGATGAAATCGAGTTGGCTAACACAACTTCTCCACTGCGCTTTATTTCCCTTCGCTCTCTTTTCTTCGCTTTCTTTGCCCCCAAATGCCCTGGTACGGCTGAGAGGGCGGAGAGCTCGCCCTCTCTATTCTGAAATGCTCTCATACGACCACACGTATATAGGCACTGCCAGGGAAGCCCTACTCACTGACTTCTCCTAGTGAGGGTATTGTTTACAAAATCGAGAGGACGAAAAGTGAATGTCCGATGCTTTAGCCGGGTTGGTGGACACGAAAAGTTCACCTAGGGGAGTTGAAAAACCCTGATTCCAAACCAATAATGCACATGGACTCCGGTATCCTGATGGAACAAATGGCGTATAAATCAATCACCATCTACCATGGAAATGCATATCCTTACGATGCTCTACTGCCTTGTGGATTAGACCATTAAGTCAAAGGTTCCGGGTGTGGCCCCTAAGAAAATCACCTCCTTCATTCTGGGCACTCGAGCAGTATCATAGCCCCAAAACAACTAAATGAAGTGACAGTTTTTTTGTGTGGCACATACACATCTGGTGCCTACTTGTACTGAAATTTGTGTTCAAATAAATAAATAAATAAACTTATCTTTCTTCACTTCGTTTCTTCAATAGTTTATCTCAATCAGCAATTCTACGAAATATACGTATTCAAAAAATCCATTCTCATTTTTAACTTATTTAATTCCATTATTCAACAACACAAATCTATTCGATAATTATATATACAAGGGATTGGCGACATATATTATTTCTATAGTAATCAGAAACGATCAAATTGGAGTCAGTTATGGAGCCATTAAAGACTATTTAATTATCTTTACATACGAGAAAGTCTAAACATACATAGGAAACTAATTGTCATTTAACACGAAATCTAAATTAGTGATAAAAACAACTATTGGACTCACAAAGAAAAAAAAGGGAAGGATTATTTCCAAGGGAAAATTACCTCTTTCTTAAAAAAAATGAAAAATAAAAATCAGTTAATAAGTAGTATGTTCATTTCAACTAATTAATTACCATCACGAAAGATTAAGATTTTGTTCAATGAAATTTAAAGGAAAGAAACGAAAAAAAAAAAGAGAGAAAGAGTAGATCATTGATTGTATGAAAGTAGATTATTTCGTTTTATAATCAAGAAAACTTGATAATGAAACGAACTATTCTAAGGAAGTGAATAATTTAAAATAAAATTCAAGGTAACTAAACTGCTACTCTTTTTAATTCCTAAGGTATTTTATATCTTTAGGTGTTATAAGTTGTGGCTGAGTAAGATGCTTTGTTAATGTATGACATGCCAGAGGTTCCGTAATTTCAGGGGCCACTAGCAGAACAGGACGAAATTTGTAGTGAATCTCGCGTCACAGACCGTTCACAGGCCCTCTCCGTGACTTATTATACAGATGTTAAAGATATCGTAAAAGAAAAATAAATGGAGGAAGAATGGTAACGCCAATATAATACGGTGATGACAATGAAACCAATAGAGACGAAGATAACAGTGAACAGGAAACTAGAGGATGGGGTGTGATACAGAAAAACCTCGATAGTAGAGTGCTTCTCCAAAATTAAAACGATTTAGGCATCTTCAATACCACATGAGGATGAAAATTGGTGATGCGTTTCGTGTCACGGACCGTTAATAGGAACAGTGACACACAAAAACCGTACGAGCAGTCTAAAGTACGTACGTATCGGTCCTGCTTCTGCCTAGCCCAGCCACTTAAGTCCAGAACAGCTTCTGAGATATGAATCATTATATTTCAAACCTACTGAGTTGATATTACCAAACAAACTGACCACATCGTACCATAAAATAGAAAATAAGATATGTACAAGATTTAGCCAAATGTAGCTGTGAATAGGGGAGATAGTAAATGAGAGACAGGGCATAATTCAAGAATGGTAAAGCATATAATACTAGGTATATGTAATCATGGAGTTATCTACCTTTAACAGCATGTATGTATATATTCATCATCCTTATCTCCAAAGTTGGAAATATATGAACTAACCAAACACTATCCAAGTGGGCTCCTCTTTGGTATCATCTACTCATTGTCATATGTATTGTATAGACATAAATGGTTATTCGAAGAGGTTTTTTCGCTTCCTTTAAATTCATATTTGTTTCTTCTGTAATGTTTCTTTATTACAATATGAATTCACAATAAAAATGAAAACTTCCTACTTTAGCTACCTATATAACAAATAATGAACTGAGAAAAAAATCATTGATTAGAGCTGAAGACTCCTCCTATCTTTTCAGCAAAGTACCTATATTAATTTTAAGAATACCTTAGTAGAGAACGAAGATGTAGGTACTGATCCTTCAATGAATTTGAAAATCACACATTGAATATATCATTTGCATACCTTCCTTTAATCATTCTTTACATACCCCATCATTCTGCTAATTCTTTTGTTATTTTGATTGCTTTCTGTTATTCTTCCTCTTCTTTTTATTTCACTCTTCTGATGGTAAGCGTTCCAATTCCCGCTACACACTACTTATATCTCTCTGCATTAGTAGCAAACACCACCCTGTCCCCCCCCTTAAACGACAGCTCTTGCAGATTGGTTCACAAAACTCCTAGGTGAACTTTATTCATTTGTCCATTAGTTACTAGGTCAGAGGTAGATCTCTTTGATATTCAATAAAAGGATGTGACCTATGTAGTCGACCAAGTCGGAACGGAGACAGGAATTCATTGATGACATTGTCATGAATTCACTGTATATTATTGATTAAGTGAAGTTAAAAAATACAGATAACATGACTTTCATCCATTAGCTTGAAAATATTGTGATCTACAATCGATCTGTAAATCCTATACTAAATCCTGTCTAAACTCGTGGTTACCGTTTGACGAGGAGTTTCTAGCAAGGCTAAGTAGATGATTAGTGCTCCTTGTTATTAAATTGTCTGTTTGTCATTAATATCATTCTCATATTCAGAAGGATCACTAGATATCATATTTCTTTGTATTCAGCCTATCTGTAAAATTCCAATAAATGTTTTTTTTTGTAATTGGGCTTCATTTTCGGATCAGCCATTTGATGATTTACCAAGCTTTTATGTATATTGATTGCAAACTAACTGACTATGCACTGTGTACACTAATCATGTCATATGATGGAGATGAAAATGAAATCCGACTGATATTTGAGTACAGTAGCTAATTGAGTTATGCCTTTAAACATTATCTTTCTTGTTTTAATACTTTTGAAATCATGTTTCTTTACACAAGATAATCAACAAGACATCATGAACGTAGACTTCATACTGGTTGACAGTCATTGGCTAAGTATTTTAACAGTATTAAAAGTTATTATGAACTTGAAATTCTGCAAAATGACTTACTCACGAAACCAGTCTCAGAGCTAATCAGGCAGCAATTGAGATGAACTTAACACATTATTCATTACAGAGCCTCAATTGTTCTTTGGTGATTTTACATTTTATCTATTATTATTTTTTAATACCGGTCTCAAAACAATAATCTTATAAATTAAATTAATTTAGCCTTATTTCACAAGTATTATAAGCAAAGATGGTTAGTGGCTAGCAGTGGAATCCAGAACGCGCGTTTCGTCCTATTTGGGACTTGTTTAGCCACTAACAATCTTTGCTTACAATGCTTGTGAAATAAGGCTATATCTAGACAATACGCACACTATGCGCATATTCCAATAAAAAACTGACCAGTTGCAGTCCTAAACATCAATGGGAATATTCAAACAAGTAATACTAAGTGAATTTAAATCATTTTAGTTATTTGGATCTTTGATCTTTGTTGACAGTACTATACCATTCACCTATAAATTTTGAAGCCCAGCTTACGACTTGTTGAATCAAATAGTATTAGATACTGAATACTTTTTTATTATCAAAGACTTATAAGTTGATGTTCTATTTATCATATTCCAAATAAAATTACTCCAGAATTAAACAAACAGTCTTGATTGTAGTTCATTGTATTGATGAAAGTATAGGGAATACTGTTATTCTATTGTTTTTTGATAATTTTTAATTGTCAAATCAACTAACGGAGTTGTTTAATCCTAATTCAGCGAAACGATGTAACACCGTTGGATCTAGAGGTTGGGGGGTTCGTAAGTGAACTCAAAGGTTTTGGGTTCGAATCACACGTGAGGAATTGTAGATGTTCACTGCTAAAACGTCTCACAATAGGATAAACCGGCAGTCCAGTTCTTCTAAACTTTCAAAGAAAGTTTAGCATAGATCAACTAATGAAGTTAACTATTAAAATACTACATTCTTTACAAATTCCTCCCTATTGATTTCAGATTTGTATGTCATTAGTTATGCATAAAATAAATTTAAAAAAACGCTACTTGTCATATTATTTATAAAATTTTTAGTTCAACTGTACTTCTGTTACACTTTCCCTTCATTTGTATTAACATTCAGTAAATGAGAAGCAGGAAACTAATTTCCAATGAATGTTCCTCTCTATCTCTCTGTCTCTCTCCTTTAAACAGATATTATATTAAATTTTTGGACTACATATGTTAGTAAAAGTGGGCAAGTTGTATATCATTTAAAAGCGATTGCTATTAATTATTTACGTGGTTGGTTCTTTCTTGATTTATTGGCGGCTATACCATTTGATGTTATTTTGGCTGTGAATAATCCTGAAATACAAGGTACTATTGGTGAAATGGTAAGTTGAAAAATTTTCAATAAAACTTTTTTTTCTTTTTTTAAGTCTTAGTATAAATATTGACAGTTAACATAGATGACACCATGAGATAAATTCTCGATAATATGAAAGTGTTCACAACATACCATTGCTAATCATAACCTGAATATTCTAATAAATTATCTGAATATATGAACAAAGATGGATAGTAGCTAGCAGTGGGATCCAGGAGGCGCGTCTCGTCCTATTTGCAACTCATCAGCTGGATGTACCTACATCTCAGAGTTGATGTTTACTCTGGCACTCGAACCCAGTACCGTTTGCTTCAAACGCCATCACGTTATCCACTTATCTACTGAGTCCTGAAAGCCACTTGCTTGTACAATGAGGTGAAGTTAAAATTCACTTCATGTTGTTTACTTGTATCTTCCCACTATTATTTAGGACTGCAATTGAACAATCTCTTGTTGGCATATGTCTATCCTGTGCGGACTGCCTTGATATTGCTTGAAGTCACAAGCTTTATAAGCAAAGATGTATATTGGCTAGTAGTGGAATCCAGAAACCACGTTTCTTCCTACTTAGGGTTCGTCAGCTGGATGCCACTTAAATCAATATTGAGGCTGTCCGCACAGGATGCACATATGCCAAATAGAGATTGATCAATCTCAGTTCTAAATACAATGGGAAGACATAGGTAAACAACACCACGTGAACTTAATAATCTGAATAGTATGAGTTAGATTTTTTGTCTGATTTTTCAGTCAAGGATGACTGATACTCTTGTGTTGTCAATTGAATTGTACATTTCACTTCAAATATATCTTGTAAATGTATTTGAATAAACAGATTTTCCATGAATATGTTTACCTTTAAATGAATTAGTTCACACAGTTTTTATTTATTTATTTGGAAACAGGTCATATTTACACAAACAATCAATATATAATAGTCTATTTGAATCTATTAATAATAATGCATATCTTGATGGAGTTTTTGTTCTTTGAGCTGGATGGTTTGGCCGTGCTGATGATGTCGTTCAGAAGGACGACGAAAGCTCCACGGCCAAACCATCCGTGTCAAAGAACAAAACTCCATCAAAATCATCCACTAAAGCTATAAATCTTTACTGCCCTCTCAAAGTATTGCTTATCATTAAACTTAATATATACTGTCTTTGATGTTTTCGAATCAGATTAATTAATTCAAGAGAATTGTATTAGTTAACATTGTTTTCATCTCAAAAGAAAATGAATAATGATTTGAATAATTTTTTTCTGGTTAGTGTTTTTTAACGAGTTGGTTTTTTACGGGATGAGGTCGCTAACCCCAGGAGGAGCTACGAGCAGAGTTCTCAAAAGAAAATATCATTTTTAAATATCTCTACGTTTAAAATCTTCGGTATAAAATTTCAGAAATGAATGTTGTAACAAACTTGGTGATTGTAATCAAAGGGGAAAATCTGAAAGCTCATCAATGATATCAGTAATAAGATCGATATGAAAAGAATTCATTAAATTAACAGCTTAGTATGTAGTTTGAAAGAGACTTTATGCAGATTGTCTTCAACTAGTTTGAAGTATTTGTAGTATATTGTTACTCAGTTTGATGGTTACAATTAAGGCATGATGAAGGGCCCTTTTACTAAACTCCTACTTAGTGATAACAATGATCATGTTATGAAATTTTAGATACTTACGGACGTTTATAAATAAAAAGGAATTTATGGTTGATTGATCACTGGGTGGTGATCAATGTCATGTGTGACAAGTCCTTCTTAGTTCTGGTCGAATGCTATCGATCAAGTTTCAATGTGGCCACTGGCCTAGATGACTCGACATTGAATGCACTATGTTGAGATAAGATGGTGGTTGGAGGTAGTCAGCATGAAACCCTGGACCTTGGTTTCGTGTTGTTTGGCACTCGTCATGAAGGTGTACATGTTATCTTGAGGGAACTGTGGGAACTGACTGATTCTATCTCGTTCCACGCAGCTTCGATTTGCACTAAGGAAGACTGAAACACATGACATTGATCATCACCCAGTATTCAGTCAATTGTAAATACATCTCAGTCCTACAGAAGGACAGTTGTGGCCCGGATAGCTCAGTGGTGACGTCTCTGATTGCGAAGCTAGGTGACATGAGATCGGATCTGTGAGGGAGCATAAGTTCCCTTATGATTACATGTACACCTTGCTGATGAATACCAAATAGCATGAAACCTAGGCCTAAAGTTTTCTGTTGACTACTTCCAAACACCATCTTAAAAATGAAATTTGATGACGATGACTGATGTAGGTTTTGAAATGCTTATATCAAATTTACTTATCTAAATTACTGACTAAACAAAGATTTTAACATGTTATCATTAAAAGTACTTCGAAGATTAATACAGCAATAATTTATTGACTTTAAAACAGCTCTAGCGAATCGCTACAGTAATATCCCATACTTTGAATTGAGTGATCTAGTTTAGATTATTCTAAATCCAGCACTTTTCATACAAATAGTACGATCAGACAGATCATTAAAAAAGAACATGAGCTCTTGTGAGAAATGGTAACCAGTAAAGTCCAACTATGTTGATTATGAGGTAGTTACTTATAAATAGAAAACACATGACCAATATCATGAACTGATTGAAATCAGAGAATTACACAATGATATGTCAGTTCAATGGTATAAATCTTTAGTGTACTCCATAAGACCTCTAAGCTTTGGGTTCAAGCCCTAGTGTGTGAGTGCGAATATATGCTGTAGATAAGATTCTTAGTCACATGAAACAGTTATTCATTATTTCCTAGTTCTTCATCATTGTTTAACTAAGATCATTCTGTAATAAAAATTAAAAAATAATCCTTTCAATTGTCAACAACAAAAAACTATGAAGAACCAAATGTTACAATTTCTTCTCTAGTTAGTAGGAAACCATTATTCTTCATTTGGTATTGTTTGTTTGAATCTTCACATTGATGTTTAGGTTTGCGACTGGTCAGTTTCGAATTGACATATGCGCATATTGTACATATTGCCCCGATATAGCCTTATTTCACAAGCATTATAAGCAAAGATGGATAGTGGCTAGCAGTGGAATCCAGGACGCGCGTTTCGTCTTTTTTAGGACTCGTCAGGTGGATGTACCTACATTTCAGACTTGATGTTCATCCTGGGACTCGAACCCAGTATCTTTCGCTTCAAACGCCACCGCGTTATGTACTTGGACGAAACGCGCGTCCTGGATTCTACTGCTAGCCAATATTCATCTTTGCTTACATTTTTCTTCTTTTTAGATATTCATTTTTTTAGGAATCGTTGGTCAATAAAAACAGTTAAGTTGCCATTTAGCATATTACCCCTAATCAATGTAAACAGAATTTACTGAAATAACCACACAAAAAGCAAAGAGTTGTTAACAATCCTAAAGTCTGGACAAAAATCACTATTTCTAATATAATCAAATAATCAAGTACCATGAACACCTTGATACAATGTTGTTTGTTTTTTTTTCTCAATGAAAGTACAGTGCATTCAATCAAAAGTACATATCATACATTTGGCTAGTTTCATCCGTTAAATAACAAAAACGTCTATTGTCTACAAAAAAACATAACAGAAAAAAGATTTTATAGTTGAAATCATGAATCAATTGAAGCTAGACCACCATGGAAAACCTGGAAACACTGGACGGTCGTTTCATCCCATTGTGGAACTCCTATGCAGTGCGCCAGTGATCATTGGAGTTCAACCAATTCTGTTGAGAGATATCAACTCACTGAAGACAATGGTGGATGGTTGCTCAATTTCGTTGGATTGGTTGTAGTTAGACATTAACACTGTTCGATGCCGGCCGGCTCAGTTGTCTAAAGGTTAAGCGCTTGCTCACGAGACTGATAGATCCTGATTCCGAATCTTGAGTAGGCGAGATTATGGATGCGCACTACCAAGGAGTCCTTCACTGTGAAGAACGGCTTTCCAGTGTTTCGAAATTTTTCATGGTAATCTAGCTTCAATTGACTCATGACTTCAACTAAAAAATTACTAAAATCTCCACAAAACCCCTTTCTGATAAGAAAATAAATATCCAAACACACCATACCATACATTACAAATCTTTTCAATGAACAAGTCAAAATAAGATTTTATAACCTTTCAATACTTATAGACTTTGTCAGATTACTATTACCATAGATCATCACCTATTGAATTGTCATATTATCTTATGTGACGGGATAAAGTTATTAAAATTTAGGCTTTATTTTACTTAAACAGATTTACATATTAAATATCTTGATAATTTATGAAAACTGTTAAACAATAATGAAGTATGAATTCACTTAGTATTGTTTGTTTGGATCTTCCCATCGATGTGTTTAGGACTGCAACTGGTCAGTCTCTAATTGGCATATGTGCATGCTGTGCGTATTGCCTCGATATACCTTAATTCACAAGCATGGTAAGCAGAGATGGATAGTGGCTAGCAGTGGAATCCAGGACGCGCGTTTCGTCCTATTTGGGACTCGTCAGCTGGATGTACCTGCATCTCGGAGTTGATGTTCACTCTGGGACTCGAAGTATGCTTTTAGAACGAAAATAGAGAAATTAAGATATTGTTAGAATAGATGTGATTACGAAAAACCTAATTAATAGACAATCTTAGTCAATCTAAGTTAGAACATCATTGAAATCTTGAAAGTACTGAAAGGTGGTTTCGTCCCAGTATGGAACTCCTCAGCGGTACGCATATACGACCCCACACATCAAACCCGAACTCGCATGACGACGTTTCACCTTTGAATAACTGAACTGACATTCAGTTGTGTTAATGTGTAACTTCAATCGGTCCATGAGGAACCCTATACTGAGACGAACCAACTGTCCAATTCTTCCAGGATTTCAATGATGTACTAGCTTAGATTGACTGAAGGAATTTAACTGATAAAATTGAAAAAAAACTTCACAAATCCCCATAATAATCTTAGTTTTCTAAAAACAGATGAAAATAATCTACTAAATTACTTT